CTGGGGGAGCTGTGCCCAGGGGTGGGTGCTGGTGCTGATGCCCGTCTCCCTGCAGTGGAACACGTGATCTCCCAGGCGGAGTTCTACCAGCGCACAGACAGGTCCCAGCAGGTGTCCGGGGAGTTCATGTTTGAGTTGGACCAAGATGAGATCTTCTGTGTGGACCTGGAGAGGAAGGAGACTGTCTGGCGCCTGCCTGAATTCAGCAAGTTTGCCAGCTTCGAGGCGCAGGGCGTCCTGGGCAACGCGGCTGTGGGGAAGGCGAACCTGGAGAGTCTTATAAAAAGTTTCAACCACACACGGGCCCAGAATGGTACAGCAGGGCAGGGGGGGCACCTTCCCTGACAGGCACCTTTACTGGGGCCCTCCCCCAACCTTGCTCACCAGGGGACCCTCCCCTCCCCCACGCGGGCCCACTACCAGCCCCCACCAGAGACTGCGAGTCCCCACTCAGCTCCCCTCCCAGCCTCTGGAGGGCTCCGGGGAGCCAATCAGCCGGGCCAGGGCTCTGCAGGGCAGGGGGCCCGGGCAGTTCACACCCTCCAGGCTAGTGGCCCAGGGCAGCTCCTTTGCTGAGGGCTGTTCGTGGCCCTGCCCGGCACCAGGCCCTGCCCCTGAGGGATTCTCTCCCCTGCCCCTGGTGCCCCATGAGCCATCAGGGCAGGGAGCTGGGTCGGCCTCAGTGATGCCCCCACAGTCTTGGGGAGAGACCCTGAGCTGGAGCGTGAGCTCCAGGGACTGGCTGGCTCAGGGGGGGGGCAGGGAATGGGACCCACTAACCCCTGTCTCCCCAGAGCCCCCTGAGGTGACCGTGTTCCCCAGAGCCCCCTGAGGTGACCGTGTTCCCCGAAGACCCCGTGGAGCTGGGCGAGCCCAACATCCTGATCTGCTTCGTGGACAAGTTCTTCCCGCCCGCGCTCAGTGTGACGTGGCTGAAGAACGGGCAGGAGGTGACCGAGGGCGTCTCCGAGACTGACTTCTACCCCCGCCCGGACGACTCCTTCCGCAAGTTCTCCTACCTGCCCTTCCTCCCCAGCCAGGGCGACTTCTACGACTGCCGGGTGGAGCATGGGGGGCTGCCCGAGCCCTTCACGAAGCACTGGGGTAAGGCTGGGGTGCCCAGGGACCCCGCTGGGCACAGGGCTGTAAGCCAGGACTCCTGGATTCTCTCCTAGCTCTGGGAGGGAAGTGGGGGCAGATGGGTTAGAGCAGC